CTCAAATATATGTATTTTTTATATTGGTCAAGTCTTACTAGTTTTCATTTTTTCTTCACAATTCAGTTTAATATTTTGGTTTTGGTTGTTGCTATTATATTTTAATTTTTTCTATTATATTCTTCTGATTAGTTAGTGCTGGAATATACAAAAGCTATTAACTTTTGTCTTTCTATAGAGCTTCACTGAAATAATTTAATCTTTGGGGTTTTCAGTTGATTCCATTAACTTTCTATATACATAATCATAGTATTTGCAAATAATGACAAGTTTTGACTCTTTTCCAAATGGCTACATTTTTTTTTCTGTGTCATTTATATTGCATTAGCTAAAACTTCCAAACAGTATTAGTGTACATGTCTTGTCCAGGATTTTAATGAGAATTCTGCTCGTGTTTTACTATCAAATAAAATATTCATTATTGGTTTAAGATAAATATTTTTTTATTATTTTGAGGGAGTATTTTTCTGGTTTTAGTTTCTTAAGAGTTTTTTCTTCAAAAATCACAATTTTGGGGTGCCTGGGTGGCTCGGTCAGTTAAGTGTCTCCTTCTTGGTTTCGGCTCAGATCGTGATCCTAGGGTCATGAGGCTGAGCCCCGTGTCAGGCTCCACACTCAGCAGGGAGTCTGCTGGAGATCCTCTTTCCCTCTCCCCCTCCCCCTGCTCATGCTCTCTCTATCTCTCTAAAATAAATAAATCAAATCTTAAAAAAAATCATAATTTCTGTTCGGTTTTTGTACCTGTCCCAACTTCATGAAATGGATCAGGTGACTTTCTATTTTGTTTATAATATGGAACAGTTTACATGAATATTTATTTCCTAATAGTATGGAAGAACTCACCAGTAAGACCATCTGTTTTAAGATCATTTTGGATGTAATTCTTTGAAGGCAATTTCTCTTTCATTAGAGGTTATCTGGAATTTTCATGAGATGATCAAGTTTATTAGAATCAAGATGATTATATATTAAATATGTCATATTATGTCTTATAATTAAATGAAACCATCACATTCATGTTTATATTTTATTACATATTTTATATTTTAATGTCTCTGATTTGTTTTTTGTTTTTAAAATTGGCTTTCAAATATTTGACATGTTAAAGAATTAGTTCTCAATTTTCCTGCTTCCTAATTACGTAATTTCTACTCTTATCCTTATTATTTTCTTCCTTCTCCTTCTCCTCAGTTTGTTCTACTGCTGTTCTTCTAATTTTCCAATTATTCATTACATGTTTTCCCTTTTTAAATGATGGAAGTATATGATAATTTGAATTTACTTCCCAAAATAGTTTAGGCTATATTCTACAGTTTTTGAATGAGAACCTTCTGATTTTTATTATTTTTGGAATAGTCTATGATGGTGGTTTTGATCTCCTTGTGAATCTACTGTTCTTTAGGAGAATTTAAAAATCAAGTGATTGGATTTTGCTTGTTTATTCATTTACCCTTCTATTATTAATTTCTGATTTTGTTGCCTTATGATCAAATAAAATAACTTTTATGATTTTTCCTTCTGGCTTTATACAGATTTTTTTCTTTGTGAACTAGTTTAAGATCTATTTTAGTAAATACTCTCTGGATCCTTGAAAAAAATGAGATATTTAATTTGTTTATAGGTTATAGAGTTATTTCATCTAGTGTTGTGATATTTATTTTTGCTTCTTGACCTCAAAGGTAGAAACAAATATTTTAAAGCCTCTCAGTACTTGTATCTCTGTCAACTTCTTCTTTTATATCTATTTTTTTCTCAGTATATATATTCATCCTGTTTTTCACAGTATATATTTTGATTCTGTTATTGCACACCTACAATTTTATGACTACTACATCTCAGAAATGAGTGTACCTTTTATCCAATAAAAAGTGACCTTTTTTATTCCACTTCACGCTTTTGACATGTTGGAAGGTTAGTTTGCCTAAAATTAATATAATTAATAATACCATTTTTTACTTTTAATTTCTCTATGCTTGATAAAGGATAAAATAAAAAGATATATACGGGGGCGCCTGGATGGCTCTGTTGGTTAAGCGACTGCCTTCGGCTCAGGTCATGATCCTGGAGTCCCGGGATCGAGTCCCACATCGGGCTCCCTGCTCAGCAGGGAGTCTGCTTCTCCCTCTGACCCTCCCCCCTCTCATGCTCTCTCTCTCACTCTCTCTCTCAAATAAATAAATAAAATCTTTAAAAAAAAAAAAGATATATACGTCCTTTTGCTTTAAGTACATCTTTTACAAGAAACACATCATTGGGTTTTAATTTTTAACCCAATATGAGGGTACTGTTCTTTTAATAGGGGACTTTAGCACATTTTTTGGGTCGTTATTGATATAGTTAGTCTTAACCTCCTTCATCTCGCCTTAAAATTTTTTTAAAGTTTGCTTGTTATTGTTAGGGTGATGTACGGGATTGTCGAATCACTATATTGTACATCTGAAACTAATATAACACTGTATGTTAACTAACTTGAATTAAAATGAAAACTTAAAAAAATTAAATGTTTGCTTGTTATTTGCTTTCTGTCTGGTCCACATTGATGGGGTTCATGAGATTTAAACCCTCCCAGATTTGAAAGGTGTGCACCCCGTTTTTGATTTCACTAGTGATTATTCAAATTTTCTTCTGACTTAAGACTTCTTCATTATCAATGGGCAGAGAGACAATGAAAAGATTCAGCATATTTTTACTATCCCTTTTTTTTAACTTTTAAAAAAATTTTTATTTTTATTTATTTTTTAAAATTTTTATTTATTTATTATTTTTTTCCTATCCCTTCACTGAGGCCTCCCACGTGCTTTCAGCCTTGGTTAATCTAACCTTAGGTTTGGGACCCAGCTCCCTAACGTTTACATGACAGATCTTCCATCTCCTGGAATGATTTTCACCACGTGCATTCAGTGGTACAACCATATTTAACAGTTTTTATTTTCCTTCATCCTAGTTTAACTGGTTTCAATTTTTACCAAAAATTGTTTTGTGTCATGATGTCCTGTCATTAAGTCTTTCACTCTGAGTTACTTCCCAGCTGGTGTGTGCCTTCAGGAAAATGTTTCAACAAGGGGACTTTTGTTTTCACTCTTGTGAGCTGAAGGTGACTTTCTGTTATGCCCTGAATTACGTCTCCCCCAAATTCATATGTGGAAGCCTTAACCCCCACTGTGACTGTATTTGGACACAGGATCTTTAAGGGGGTAATTAAGGGTAGGTAAAGTCAGAACGGTGGGGCCCTAATCCATGAGGAAGAAGAAGAGACACCAGGAGTGTGCACACACAGAGAAAAAGCCATGTGAGGACATGGCAGGAAGGTGGCTGTCTGCAAGTAAGGAAGAGAAGCCACACCAGGACAACCCCGCCAGCACCTTGGTCTTAGACTTCCAGCCTCCAGAGCCGTGGGATGATAATACATTTCTGTTGCTGAAGCTGCCCCGTCTGTGGTATTCTGTGATGGCAGCCTGAGCAGACTCCTACATCTCCACACGTGGCTATCCACGGACTGTATCTTAAGATCACTGGGTCACAAATATTTTCCCAGTGAGGTGAATCTCTGAAGGGTGGCCTGGAGAGAGGGTCAGGGTGGGGGCAGGAGAAGAGTTTGTTTCAAAAACGAAGTCCTTGCAGTAAGAGAAATGGCAATCCAGTTTCCAGATCTCGCTGAGCCAGGTGGGAGAGGATTTGATTTCTTCCAGCCTTTTTTTAGAAGACAAGAGGAGTTTGGATAGATTTTTCTCAATTTAGCTCCATCAAAATTATAAGTAGTAGAAATTTCCTCCATCCTTTCTAATTCTAACAAAGTGGTAAGCTATTATTAGTTTTTGCTGTAGTGTGTTTTCATCTTTTTCTTAGGCTTCATAGAAGCCCGAAGATTGAGGTAAGGTTTTGCAGAAAAATCTCTGCTTTTGATACCCTTTATAGAAGTTGCCATCCCTAGAGTCTGTCTCCAGGGGCCAGTTTTATAATCTGTAGAAGTCACATGGAACCAAGAGTGATGGAAATACATCTACGATTCAGGCCTGGTAGAAATCTCATGCAAACCCTTCCGCTAGTAGAAGAAAACTTGATGTTCTGAGGGTTCAAAATAGTAGGTTTTTGAGCTATCTGAATACTCCACAAGTGAGGGAACTTAGAAACACTACTTTTGCCTCTTGAAGTTTGCACATTCACGATAGTACTGAAGGTGATACTAATCTAATAGCCCGGGGAGCACCCTGGCCCCGAACACCAGGATAGTGCTTTCTCTTCACCACCGAGTTTTTAGCTGGGTTTCTAGCTAAGCAGGAAGGATGCCTGACCCCTGTCGTGGTGCTAAATGGAGGGCTGCTGTGGGTATGGTTAAGTTGGGGAAGGAGGATGTTCCCTTTCTTTTGCTTGCTCATTTGTTCAGGGCTTTACTCATTGTTCAGCAGGTATCACTGTGCACCTGTTCCGCGCCAGGCACAGTGCTGGGTGCTGAGTGAGAACTCGCCATCTCCCCTTGCAGCGGGGAGTTCAGGTCGGTGCCTCTGCGGTGAAGTGTGTGCACTGCGGGGGTCCTCCCCCTGGGACTCTGGGGGTCACAGTGCCTGGGAGGAAGTTCCGGCGCGAGGGTACACACTTGGCTTCTACGTAAGGAGACGCTTTCTAGCAATTGGACTTATTCATCAACAGAGCAGGTTTCCTTTTGGGGCGGCAAGGTCTCTGCCACTGCAGTGACTCTAGAGGAGATGAGATGCTCGAGGCTACTGCACATGAAGTCTTAGAATTCACCAGTTCCAAGTGTGAGCGCTTTGGGGACAGGTCTTTGTTTCACTCGGTTGGGGGACCGGTACCTCGCAGTGCCCGACACACAGTGGGTGTTCAATAAAGCCTTAGCAGGTACGTGAATGGGTGGATGAAGAAAGTGGAAGACAGGCTGCACCGGATGATTTCCCCAAACCCCGGGCAACTCTGAGAGTCAGCGACCTCGTACTATCAGTGCCCCAAAGGAGCTCAAGAGAAAACTTCTCACCCCCATCACTCACCGTGCATGGGGGCTGCATCCAGGGCTCTCCATCCACTTGCATTGGCAGCAGCTTGTTTGTCCTGGAATACCAAGAACCGAGAGAACACAGTGAGCTTTAACGCTTCTGGAGCCCAAGAATTTTAGGGTGGTCCTCACAAAGGAGACAGAAGTGGGAAGACCTTATCTGCCCACCTAGGAGTGGTTCCCTAAGACTCCCCTGGAGGGCTCGTTAAAATGGATTTCTGAGCCCACCTCAGGAAGTCTGACCAGGCAGGTCCCAGGGTCACAACTCAGGCTATGGGCGATTCCGTTGCATTGGTGCTGAGGCCCTAGTTTGAGAAACACTGTCCGGGGTGAGCAGTAAAGTCCACGGAAGTCTGGGAAACAGCGGCCAACAAGGATGGCAGCAGCACTGCTGAGCAGACCCTCAGTCAACAACCAGCCGGAGGGCCTACAGACTGTGCCAGAAACTCCACAGTGAAATGGGAATGGTTATGAAATGGGAAAAGGCCTGGTTTCTCTGTTGAGTGAGAGGTTGCATCATGTCAATGAAGTAACGTCTCCCACCTAGGCAAGGTACAGCTCAGGTCTGAGTGTGTTTGCCTTGCCCCCGCTCCTAACTATCCTCTCTTTTATGTCTTGAACAGCAGGGCACTCTGTGGTTGTATGGACTATGAACCTGACTTAGCTGGGAAATGGGGTCATTGCGAATACTGTCCCCACAGGTAGAAGGAGAGGAGAGAAGACCGTGCTGCTTTCCTGTTTGGGACCAGGCTTCTCTGCCATACAGATTCTTTAAAGGAGAGAGATGAGGTCTTTTGACTCCCTTCTGCGGAAGAGTTGCGAATTCCTACTGTATCGCCTTCGGGAGAAAAGGCAAGTCCTTTTGGAAGCCTCTGGTCTGGGTGAGCAGGGAACAATTGCTACCCACTGTCTGGGAAGCTCTCACCTGGGTTTGGCATCTGCCCTGCTTTTGAATTGATAAAACGAGGGACACAGGCTATGTTCTGATGTCGATGACTGTCTGACTGATCTTGAGAATATTTAATAATAAAAAATAATAAACCTAATAATAAAACCAGTCATAAGAGAGTGGTATTTTGGTTCTTGGGACTGAGGAGGGTGTCTGGGAAATGCCCAGGAGGATGGGGATCTTGGCTCACCCCCTCTGTCCTATCTGAAAATAGGTCCACTGAATGTGAAGAAAAAGTCCTCCCTCTCACACATGGCTTTTTTTGATTCCCCTGGGACTAAGATGTTATGTTCTCTGTGGTCCATATCAGTTATGGCTTAGCTGTGCGAACAGACCGGACCTACTCAGTGCTGGAGTCGTGGAGGACAGACAAGGAATTAAGTGTGGAGATTAATGTGGAAAACAGGGGCCCCAGAACGACAAGAGCCCACAGAGAAAACAAGCAAAGCTCTGGGTAATACTAGAAAAGACAAAGAAGATACAGGGAGGGAATGAAGAAAAGGGTTCAGTGGGATAGACCTTTAGCTAAGAGATGTCAGGGAACCAGCTCTGGGGATCTTTCCGAGGGATGCAGGGTAGCGCCAAGAGTAGCATTTCCCTAAAAGTGTGCTGAGGACACTCGCCCAAGAGGTTTTGGGAGAAAAGGGTTCTGTGGTCAAATAACTTTGGGAAACCTGCATACTGTGGCCCCTCCAGGAGATCCCTAAGGCACACTAAAAGATTTGAACTGTAAAAATTGGATGGGGAAAAGGAAGGGAATAAAGATTTCTCAAATAATCAGGTGGAGAAGAACCTGATGAGTTTTATTGACTAAACAGAAGCAACTGAAATCAGAGGATCCCCCCTCTGAGACTCCATTTCTTCCAGCAGCCTGCAGTGACCGACCTGTGAGGTCCACACCCTGCAGAAGCATCACCCTCTTAGGCAATTACAACCCATTTGCTGATGTTGATGGATTGGCTCTACAAAGGCAAATAGGGAACAGTATTTCTAAGGCCACTATCCAAGAAAGAGTGAGCCGAGAACCTGGTTTCTGTCACAGTGTGCCCTCTGGCATACATCTAGCATCTTAATTTGTAAAGATAAGAAAGGCAACACCAAGCAGAGGATTATAGGGGGAGGGAGGGAAAACTGAAAGGGAAGAAATCAGAGAGGGAGACAAACCACAAGAGACTATTAAATCCAGGAAGCAAACTGAGGGTTGCTGGAGGGGTGATGGGGTAACTGGGGAATGGGCATTAAGGAGGGCACGTGATGTGATGAGCACCAGGTGCTCTACATAACTGATGAATAACTGAACTCTACATCTGAAATGAATGGTGTACTATAGGTTGGCTAATTGAATTAAAAAAAAAAAAAAGAAAGGCAAGAAGTTGGATCTCTGGTTCTCTGGACCTCATAATCTTATACTATTTAGAGAATTTCACCAATTCATTGTAAGGTAATAGCAAACAGGTCATGGTGGACCCTTCAGTTGATGTCTTGGATGGTTGGGAAATGGTCTCTAAAGACATTCTTTATAAATGTTATCAAGCTTCTGTCCCGCACTCTCCCTGCACTGAAATCCAAAGATGGCTTCCTAGTTCTTGTCTGCAAGAACTCTGAGGGGGGCAGAAGACCTGGAGGCTGCTGGATAATGAGGAAGCATACCTGATGGTTACTGAGGAGCACTGGGCCAGCCTCCTGCCCGCACTCTTCAGGCCAGTGTAGATCTGCCCCATCTCCATGGCTCCCTCTAGCCCCACCACTTCAAGGAGCTGGTCACTGAGGTCTGCAGAGTGAGACAAACAGAAGTAGTGCATACACATCTCTCTGTTCCTCAGGCTGGTTTTTCTCAGAAACCCAGATCTATCAAAAATACCCTTTCATCTCCCACCAAACGGCATTTTCAAACTCATTCTGAATAGGGAATTTCCCCAAAGGTCAATAAATGTACTTTTCATGAACAGAAACCCAGTTCTAGTGAAAAAAGGTTTTGATTCAGAACATTAACATGCATCCAATGAATAGGTTGGCAATTCTAGAAGCCTCTTTAAATGGAGAGCAACAAATGATGAACCAGCTATTTCCGAAATGATTTTCAAATCCCACCCCCACCCCCACCCCGTGCAGCTAAAGACACATAGGAAGGAATGGTGACAAAAGTCCTTCTCTGAGCTGGTTCAAGTTTCTTTTCTCTGAATGTCGGAATAACATCATGGCCTTAATGATGATGGCTGATGGTTAACCAACCTCAAATTTGGCCTGTGGGAAGCCAGTGTGAGCCAACCTCCTTGGACATCCTTGGGGAAATCAGTGACCTCTTTCAGGACACCAGGTACCTCATCTGAGCCAAGGAAATGAGTATTTCACCTACACCAGATTATTCTGGGTCCACAGTAGAAAAAGTGGGACAGAAAATATGAGTCTAAGTCTCAGAGTCACATAGGATCGATGGCTTCCCACAGTGGCAGTTACTTCTGATTCAGCATCTGGAAGATGTCTTTTTTTTTTTTTAAGATTTTATTTATTTATTTACTTGAGAGAAAGAGAGAGAGAGAGAGAGAAACAGCATGAGAGCGGAGAGGGTCAGAGGGAGAAACAGGCTCCCTGCTGAGCCGGGAGCCCGATGTGGGACTCGATCCCAGGAGTCCGGGATCATGACCTGAGCTGAAGGCAGTCGCTTAACCAACTGAGCCACCCCGGCGCCCTGGAAGATGTCTTTTGTTCAGAGTTCCTGAGGCTTGGGCTGTCCCTACCTGATTTCTTGTGAAAGCAATGGCAGGATCAAGGTTTGATATTGGGAACAAGACTCACTTTTACAACACAACTTCTGTAGTTAAAACAGGAACACAACAAAAAGGCAGATTCTTTAAAAGCTTCCATTCTTTTGCCTACTAAAGCAAAGGTACTTGGGGTGCCTGGGTGGCTCAGTCGTTAAGCATCTGCCTTCGGCTCAGGTCATGATCCCGGGATCCTGGGATCGAGCCCCCCATCGGGCTCCCTGCTCCGCGGGAAGCCTGCTTCTCCCTCTCCCACTCCACCTGCTTGTGTTCCCTCTCTCGCTGTCTCTATCAAATAAATAAAATCTTAAAAAAAAAATAAAGCAAAGGTACTTTTCTCACAGATTGTACTTAGTCACTAATATCCCAAACTAGAAAGTCAATGTTTTTATTTATTTAATAGATGGGTTTTGTCTAAGGTGCCTCCTGGTATAGTATAATGGTGTTTGTTAAGATTGTCAAGGAGATAATCTGGGTTTGTCTTTACTTTTTTGTTTAGAAGACTGTTGTTTAAAAACATTTTCCTGATGGATGCATTTCTAATGAAGAGTGAAGCAGACCACGGAGCTGACCACAAATGTGTCAACACTGCTCCAGTCCAACCTACTGATGATCACTGATGGACAGCAGCTGCCAACAGATACACAAACTGCACTCCTTCATCTTCCTGTGACAGGCACAGAGCTTTCCCCTCTATTTCAATCCACACTCCCATTCTCCTTCTCTGGTTCTCCTTCTTCTTCTTCTTTTTCATATCTGAAAAGATACGGTCTCCTTGAACTCTCCATCTCATTTGGGCTTGGAACAAGAAGCCATGAAAGAGCAGTGTTTGTTTAGGAGAATGCTCCAGGCTCTTCTAAGGAGTTTGGATCCAATAAACACAAATATCTAAACCTCTAGTCATTTAATTAGTTCCCTTCTTACCAAAGAGCATTAAATAACCGTTGGATAGTCTTAGCTTACTGTGTCATTTTAACAGTGTCTGTGAAGTCAGCATGGGTTATGAATGAGAGAGGGGAGAGAAAGGGAGGAAGGGGGAGGAGGGAGGAGGGAGGAGAAGAAATAGAGGAGTGTGTCTAGGGGTGAGGAGGGTGGGGGAGTTATACTGGGGTAGGAGAAAAAAAGCAGCAGAACTTTTCAGAGGTTCCCCTAATGGCAGAAAGACAGATGTCTTGTAAAATGTTGCTCTTTGTACCAGGCTTAGGTATCTGACAGTGCTGTTATAGTTCAGTGTTTTCCCTCCTTGAAACATTTCCTGGTAACAAAATGTTCTAAGAAGCAAGGGACTTAATAGACTCAAGTGTTTCAGCTTTTACAATGTCTTGGTCTTTTAACAAATTTTCCTGTTGAATGGCTTTAAGTTGTTATCACTTCCCACACATTACCTTGCAGCTATCACTTCCCACACATTACCTTGCTTCCTGGCTCTAGAAGAGAAGTAATGAAGGCTGATCTCATCCACATGGTGGGTGGGTGGGGGGCAGAGGCTCACACACATGTGGGACTGAGGAGATAAATGCAGGGTAAGGGGCTAGGATATACTGGTATACTTTTTGCCATTTTGCTTTTGAATTTGTACTCTGAATCTTCCCTGGCACAAAGAGGCTAGGATGACTCCTGTCTACTACCGAAGGAAGACTTGATTGTTCTTCTACTTCTCCACCATTGCCTAGCTGATCTTTCTTTCAATTTCTTACAATGCCTACCATGAGGTTCTGAGATAAAGAAATCTATTTAACGTTGTTTCCCAAACTTATGGGACCACAAGTCTCTTCTTTTGTGTGATACCTATAAATAGTCCATGGTAGTTTTCTTTGATACACACTTTGGGATATTTTGGCATCACTTAATTCCCTTTACTTCCTTTAGCACAGAGATACTTATGCATAAATTAAATTTGGAGTTAAAATGAAACAGAATAGAGTGCAAGTCAACATCCAAGCACACAGAACAATTAATGTTTGAAGCTCAGAATCCAGAATCAGGTCATTTGTTATACCAGGTCTGTTTTACCTGGTACCAGTGATTCAGAGTGTGGTTTTGGCAATTCACATCATCTCCCTATTGTCTGTCTTTACACTTTTCAGCTCATTAGTATTTAAGCTGGAATATCCATGCACCTTAGTAAAACAGGAATTCATTCATTCCTTCATTCATTCATAAGTTACTGAGTAGCAACTGAGTGCCAGATAAGAACTGGGAATACAAAATGTTCTACTCTTGAAGGACTCTTGACCAAGAGGGAGAAAATGTATTAGGTGTAGAAAATGCTGTAATTGAACTATAGGGATAGGGAGGCCTGAGTAACTGATTCTGACTCGGCTAAGTATGGGAAGAAGGTGTCACAGACATTTAAGGAAAGTCTTGAAGGATGAATGCCAGGTAATTTGCTGGGTTAAGAAGGAGAAGGAGCAAAGATGTTCCAGGGACAGAGATGATCATATGTAGGGTTGGATGGTCACAGAATGCAGAAAGAAATTAATTTAGCAATAAATCCACTTGGCAATTTCATTGAAAAATATAAAAAAGTATTTCTACCTAAGGAGAATTATTGTCCAGAAATTATTATTATTATTATTATTATTTTTTTTTTTTTACAGAACTATAAGAGGGTCACTGAGCTGGGCACAAGTTTGTTGCAACCACTAGAGCTATAGGCCTTTTAGCTCTGCTCTTGGTAACAAAGCCTTGTGTTTGTGTGCAGGGAACACTTAGTATACTCTCTCTGAGGAGGAAAAAAAGATGAAGAATGGGAAAATGGAAAAAGGAGAATGTGGAAGCAAGGCAGGAACGGCAAGGACAGCAATAGCAGCTCCAATCTGGCCCACTTGACTCAGCCTCCAGTATGTGATTTTATAGATGCAAATCTGCTCATGTCATCCTTATACCAAAAATCCTTCAGTGGCACCAATCATAACACCAAGTGCTGGCAAGAGAAGATGAAATGTGCATTCTTTCACACCTATGATGAAAGTGTAAATTGGCAAAAACTTTTGAGAAAGAAATTTGACAATGGGAGTCTACAATTTTCATACTGTTGATTCATTAATTTCTTTTTTGGTACCAATCACAAGAAATCATTGACAGGATCTAAGTGCACACAAATATGAACACTGTTGTATCATTTATAACAGTGACATCCCCTTCTTCCTCATTTCCGTCTGTATGAGAATAAAGTATATGGTATCCATGACGATAGACTTTTGTGCTGCCATTAAGGTATTTACAAAATTTCAAAAACATTAAATATGTATATCACATTAAGTGTGAAGGTGAGATACACACTTATTTATACACAGCATGCCCTCAGCTCAGTAAAAATATGTATAGGAGAAAAGGACAAATACCCTTAAAATCTTAACGGTGAGTTCTGGATAATTAGATTCAAGATCATTGTTATTTTCTACTTGATGCTTTTCTACATTTTTCGTATTTTCTGTAAGTACGTATTAATGTTTTAACTTAAAAGTCCTTTAAAAAAAGACCTGTCAACTGACTGCTCTTCATACTTGTAAGCATGACGTAAACTCCCTGGCTTGATGCCCAAGGCCTGTACCCATCGGTCAAGAGGCTGCCTCTGCAGTTTTGTTTCCTGACACTGTGGGGCTAGGTACCTGCTCCAGACATGCACAACAGCATGACGTTCTCCAAGTTATCCCTCCTCTGTGCTTCTACGTATGCTGTACCCCGGCTGGAAATGCCCACTTCCACTTTTACGTTTTCATTAAGACTCAGCTCAAGTGCCATCAACTTTGAGAAGCCTCCCTACACTTGCCTGCCTGCAGTTTGGTTTAGATCCTCCAACTTTTCCAGGTGGATGTGGTCAGAGAAAGAACAAGAGGCTTGATGTACTACTGGTGGTGGGCAAGAGAAGGCTGAGATACTGTAGCAGGGGGTCTAGTCCGAATAGGGAAGGAGACGAAGGACTGGAGGAAAGGGAGGAGGGGGAGTTCTAGAAGGTGTTGAGAGCCAGTGGGAGAAGGAGGGCTGGAAAGAGGTGCGGTGAGCA